ATCATGATGTAACATTTGCGCAACGATTCATGTCACGCAAAATCTTAATATTTACAAATGATTGTTAATGAATATTATTAGCCGAATACTTGCAGTTTGGTCTAGGAAATTAGTTACCAAGTCAATTTGTTTTGATTTATATTGTTTAACCATATGTCGATTATTATGGTCAAATTAGAAAACCATTAACAAATTGTATCTACACAAACTCATATATTAAATGAAGTTTAATTTTACACAATTTTTCAAGTACATAGTAACGTAGTTAGCTAGTACTCATATTTAGTTTGTTAATATGTGGGAGAATTTTCAAAACTAACAGTTCCTAAGATCATTATTGTTTGTAGGGCCAGTGAAATATCACAGAACCCTGAACAAATCATCCGGCACTTAAGTCATTGAATATCGAACAGTTCACTGATCCCCACCAAGGTCAGGGACAACCAACGCATATCAGTCGATTGCACCCCATGCACTGGCGCATGCAGCAGTGGTCGTGCTCTCTTCCCTTTACCTACTAGTACTAATAGATTTCTGTAATAACGTTGTTTGTTCTGTATGGTTATCAAAGCAGACATAGTACCTGGATACGACGTAAAGGTAATCCACATTAGGTACTAACCATGAGGCGTGACTTCGATGTTAGTTGGCTCTCAATTATTTGATGCAGATCATCTACGGTAGTGGTCTACATGTTTAATGTATTAATAACTTAGTTTAGTCTACTATAAAGTAACAATTAATCATAGTGTTCATTCACTTCTTAGTATTGATCAAGTTCTATTGACCGTTTCTCATTTGAATCACTAAATGAGAGGATCGTGTATTAGAATTCAGTTTATTTTAATATTCCGCAGTTGAAGATAATATTCATTAGGAGACGGTTGACCTATGTTCGTACTAGTCAATGCATGTTACACAAAGAATAAATGAAAAAATCTGTTGTGAATTCAAGCTTAAGGTTGTTTTAACAATTACGATTTTACAACTTTGATTGAGATCATGAATCGATCAATGTTAGACCATCAATGAAAACCTGGAAGTGTGATGTATGTTACAAGTGTCGACAGACAAAAGTAATATGTAACATCAATTGGGAGTGCAAACCCTGACAACAGAAAGCTAGAAAGATCGAGTTGAAGAGAATAGAAGGGAGAATAGAGAGAAACTGTAAACTTAGAGTCATACAGAATGTGAAAGACAAATGATGAACATTTGCAAATGAAGAATTCACTGTATGATCTTTATATTTTGCCAAGATACTCCATAATTCTGTACTAGCTTACATTGGTTATCCCTACTTGTGTTCTCGTTCACAACAGAAACATTGGACGGCCGCTTTTGGCGGGATCACGAATGCGTACTGCTCAAGAGTTCCATACCAGGACGAAACAGTCATCCAGTGTTTCCATATTTTCAATAGTAGTCTAACATTTATTGATTCATGATCTCGAACAAAACTCAACAATCTCAACAACCCTGTACTGATAATTTTACAATTGTTAATATTAGACGTTTTATTTATCTTATTCTTTTTTTATTATATCCTGTTATATTTAACAGAATATATATTGTATAGTTGAAATCATGAGTCTATTGAAGCTAGACCATCATTGGAAAACTTGAAAGCACTGGAAGGCCGTTTTGTTCTATTATGGGACTCCTCAGCAGTGCGCATCCACGATCCCACCTCGCGAGATTCGAACCCAAAACCAGTGGAATACAAACATGTCTGTTGGGAGATATTAACTCACTGAAGACAATTGGTGAATGGTTGCTCAACTTCGTGGATTAGTTGAAGTTAGACATTAACACCGTTGGATGCCGGCTCAGTGGTCTAGAGGTCAAGCGCTCGCGCGCGAGACTAATAGGTTCTGGGTTCGAATCTCGCGAGTGCGAGATCGTGGATGCGCACTGCTGAAGAGTTCCACAGAATAAGTTATTTATTCAATTATGCTTTGAAATATATTTAAGTTTTCTACTGAATTTAAATAGATGTATTATTTGTTAATTGGCTAAGTATATTGTTTAATTTTAATGATCTTCACATAAACAATTATACTTCAACCTCTTAGTAAGTATGTTTATCATATATATAGATAAATTAATCCTTTTTCTTTACTTATGATTATTATTTGTTCATTACGGTTGAACTAATCTTCACTTATATTACAATTTATCTTTCTTTTTAAACAAAAAAAACTGAACAAAATGTCTATAAATGACTCGAAACAAATCATCATTTTCACAAACTTATGAACATGTTATTGTTGGTAAATCTTGCTTAATTGTTTGTTTATCTTTTTTTATAAAAAACAGACAAACCCAAGTTGTTGCTCAATCACAAAAATAAGAAAGTTAAATAAGGTGACATTTTGATGTATTTACACAAATACAATCCAATGTCTAAATAATGACACATTAATCCTAACACATGTACAATTATCAACTGTTTTTGTTAGATTTGACGCACTTGATTGGGAAAAGAAAACAATGAAATAAATACTGTACATTTTGTCTATGACACTTTTAACTTAGAATAACAAAGAGGTATCTCTCATTCGAAGCATTAATTAATAACTTATCTTATATCCATAATAAACAAATCGACTTGTTATGTTTTTGTAGTTCATACTAATTGTAAAGATTATATTCAGCAATCCAACACATTTATAGAGTAGCTGACACCTATGTTTATAAATGCATAGAAAACCTTATTTACTCTCATCGTATAAGCTATGTCTATATAACTGACTTATCATTTCAATCATTGTAACGTTAAATACTTTTTTTCCGATTATTTAATAATCAATATTTGTGTATACACATCTTTATCAATAGGAATGAATAGATAAATCATTCATGATCTTCAAGATCCATATATCATTCACTTTAATCAAGCTGATGACTGAAATTATATATCTCAACTTTGATTCTTTATAGTTCTAACTGTCATGGTTAGTAAGTATAACATTACCATTATTGTATTCTAGTGACCATAAGAAGAAGAAAAAAGTAGAAATGTCTGAAATATTTTTTGCACCTGTATAATTTATGTTTATTTGTTTTTTTAGAAAAATCAGGTTAAATAAATACTGACTAGTTCTAAAGTGTCATTCATTTCAAACATTCAATATTCAATGATTTTAATCTCTTATCAATAGAAAGTGATGATACCTATTAAATGTATCTATAATTTTATCTGTCCAGTTTTAATCAATCTAATCTCTAAATTTTATATGAATACTAAGTAAATAGGTATCCATACTGAGTTTTTTTTCTTTTACACTTTATAAATGATGATTAAACTGTGAATAGAAACTTGGTATAGAATAATATTGACTATTTAAATACATTTCTCATCCAAAAAATGTTTTACATTAATATTTGGGCTGACCTACATAGTGTTGATTAATGAATACATTTATAAATGTTTTACTGATGACTGAATCTCATTAAAAGTTGTCTAAATGTGGACACATCTAAAGTATACTTCACAATCCTCTTTTCTTTCTTTCTTTCTTTTATTTACTAAAGAATGTTCATGATCCTAATGGATTTTTGAATTAAATGTCTAAATCAGTGAAATTTTTTTTCAGTTATAATAAGAAAAGATAATTAGAGACCCTTTTATTGGGAATATTAGTGAATAAAAGTTTTGATCTGATGAGAGACTAGTAGAATATCTTACAAGAGTTTTTTTATATTCATTATAGTTTCAAGCAGTTTATGATTCTAAAACTTCTTGAAAAACGTACAATACCTTAACATGTTTATCATTCATAAATTAATTGATAGTTGAATATGAAACATTAAAAAGATATTTTTCATAGTTGAAATCATGAGTCAATTGAAGCTAGACCACCATGGAAAACCTGGAAGAACTGGATGGCCGTTTCGTCCTATTATGGGACTACTCAGCAGTGTGTATCCACTATCCTGCATTCTCGAGATTCGAAACCAGGATCTACCAGTATCGCGCCAGAGCACTTAACCGATAGAACACTGAGCCGGCCGGCATCCAACGATGTTAATTAAAAGGATAACTAAATTAATTATGAAATATCTCTAGGAATGATGACAATAACTATCAATAATTATCAAGTAGATTTTTCTCTCGTTCAATCAGATAAATTTAAGAGTCAATAGTCTAAACAGTAATTTACATTTTAAGCAAACAGCATTATTTAATTTTTATAGTTGAAATCATGATTCAACCGAAGCTAGAGCACCATGGAAAACCTGGAAGCGCTCGCGCGCGAGACTGATAGATCCTGGACTCGAATCTCGCGAGGCGGGATCGTGGATACGCACTGCTGAGTAGTCCACACTAGGACGTAACGGCCATCCAGTGCTTCTAGGTTTTCCATGGTGGTCTAGCTTCAACTGAATCGTGATTTCAACTATAAAAACTACTAAAATCTCCACAAAACCGCTTCTGATAACATTATTTAGCATTAATCATGATGTAATTTACTGAATACATAAACAATAAAAATTCTTTCTTGTAGAAGACACATCATTTTATTACGAATTTCTGGATGAGTTTGATGAAATCAATCGCCTTCAAATTATATAATCAGTTTAATTAACAAATACTAAAACCAAATTATTTTAGAATTAGTGTTGCATACAATATGTCAGCCGGGTGTTATCTTAATGTTGTGTACCCCGTAAATTATACTATTATAATCTTAGTGATTATTAACAAATGCTCATGAAATCATGTACACCAAAAGATAAATTTTAGGATTTGCCATTTTTCACGTGCCTAATTTTGATTTACATCCCTTCACAACAGTCGATTGGCCAATCAAAACACTAAATGGACATAATCATCACGCATGAACTATTTTCTCATTGGACCATTTCTATGTACGCACGAATCAAAATAACATTTCTGACACAAGCTACAATGTCATTGGCTCATTCATCAACACGCGCAAATCAATCCAAATAAAAATCCTTATAAAAATTACTGAATTTCAGATGATCACAAAGTAATATTCAATATGATACCATACACTGAATCTTGTGGGAACTATACACGTGTACCACCGATTGCTAATATACACAGTTCCTACCACATACAACAAATTAATTCGAATGGATCTAGTTCAACTTATGCATCTAATGAAAATACCGTCTGTTCTCGAAGAGGAAGACGATCAAATGTTCCACCTGAAATCAGAGAACAAACACGTCGGGTGAGTGTGTTTGTCATAATAATTACAGTGTGATGGTAACTTAATGTACTGGTGTGTTTTAAAATGACTTGATTTATTTGATGTTATCGAACTTACTGATCATAGGAATAATAGGTCATATGGTTGTTTGACTGTGTGTTAAAGTAGATTTGATGGGGCTACACAGAAGTACATAATTAAGGTGACAGTTATGTAGCTAAGATTTTGATCAGTAGATAATACTACTGTTATAAAATGGTTTGTCGATATATATTTTCATTGTTGTTCAGTGCAAATTATCAGTTTCCTGATTGTGCTTTACTGAATACTATTATGGTATAGCATTCAATGTTTCATACAGAATTGTGTTTGATCTGAATTTTTCTACCTCCGAAGTAGATGGTTAGTATTCTATATGAGGATAGGTGACTTTTTCCATGTGACTACGTTAATGCTTACGAAATGAAATGAGGCTTTTTCTTGCCAATTTAGTCATCTTATTGAATAATTAATTATCCATAATAGTGAGAATATCTAATTGTTTTTATTGTTCACTTTGTAATCAGTTGAAGAAACAAAATATGGAACGTAGACGACGTGCATGTATCTCCGATAAAATGAATGCATTACATAATTTAGCAATGAATCTAATTGGAATTGATGTAAGTTCGTTATTGCTAAGCTCTTATTGATTTAATTCAAGTCGTGTTGTACAAATAACTTTACGGATTGTATTTGGAAATTTTTATGTAAATTGGTGATCTGTATGGTTATTTCTCGGTATTAGGGTTTGGAGCTAATAGAAATTACCCTGTTTAGGTTTGCTCACGCTATTGTTTGTGCATTATTAACTTGATGTTGATGACTAATCGATCACATTATATATCCATTTGTATCTTAACTCAAAGTTGATCATTGATACAAATTGTCTCAGTTATTTAGGCTTTTATTATTCAGATTTAAATATCAACTAGAATACATAGTCTTCATCCTTTACAATTTCCATGAATAATGGACCAATTAATTTTTTTTCACTTTGACATAATTAACACCTATTTTCGACTAATTTGTTCATTAATAATTACATATTGCCATTCAGCTTTTAACACGCCCATGAACACCATCATTATGTAGAACAATAATAATAATATCAGAAGGGGTTTTGTGGAGATTTTAGTATTTTTATAGAGTTGAGATCATGAGTCAATTGAAGCTAGACTACCATGGAAAACCTGGAAGCACTGGACGGCCGTTTCGTCCTATTATGGGACTCCTCAATTTCGTGAATCAGTTGAAGTTAGAAATTAACACCGTTGGATGCCAGCTCAGTGGTCTATCGGTTAAGGGCTTCGGCTCGAAACTGGTAGGTCCTGGGTTCGAATCCCGCGAGAGTGGGTTCGTGGACGCGCACTGCTGTGGAGTTCCATAATAGGACGAAACGGCCGTCCAGTGCTTCCAGGTTTTCCATGGTAGTCTAGCTTCAATTGACTCATGATCTCAACTCTATAAAAATAATAATAATAATTAAGTAATTTGTATATATATACTCAAAGGATTCAACGTGTTCAATGTTAATTTGGTAAAATTCATCTTCGTTACCCTAATAATAAATTTCTAGTGCAATGTTGTTATACATTAGCCATTAAAATTTGCTCTTATGGGAACTTTTTAGTATCAACTACCACTGACCGTGTTACTTTGACAGATAATTATCAACAAATTTGACTTAGGTTAGTTTAGGATAATTCATTATGAAAATGATCACTGGTGACATCTGGATAACACATTGACGTTTTGAAGTGATCAATACTTGGTTCAAATTTTACTATGAATAAAAATAATGAGATTCAAGGCCACTCAACCTACTAGTTTTAAACAGTAACCAAATATGTGCCCTGCATTCCCATTGCTACCGACATATCTAAAATGCATAAATTACAGATGATCATGATGAAAACATTATCAATAAAATTATCTTTACTGACAAAATTATTTATTATTTAATTTACTTAATTTTATTTTACAGCCAAATAAATGTCATAAAGTTGAAAAAGCCGATATCTTGAATTTGTGTCAAAGTGTCTTTGAAGGAATTACAAATATAGCAAAAGATGAACCTAGTAAGTAATTTCCTCTACCCGTAATGTTAATATTTTTTTATTGGATTCGTTTGATTCGGAGTGTGCATGAAATGAAATTGATAATAAGCAACTAATTGAATTACTGATGAAGAATACACTGTGTGAATAACCTAGAATATTTTGAATAAATAGTATTGCCCAGTAGTACGTCGGTATATTTCCTAATTTCAACATATACACAAATAATTATTAATCATCGTTAAACTGAGAAAACTGAAAATTGAGATGAAGAAAAATAGTATTTATTTAATCAAGATATATCATAATCATCAATTTTACCATCGTTTAAACAGTCTTTCATATAGTTCACTAGTTTTGTCTTTGTGTTTTATTGCTTGAATAAAACAGAACCTTAGGTATTGCCATTTTTTCTTAATCCATTTATAGAATTTCAAGAACGTTTAAGAAAATTACGCTACAATTTGAATGAAATACCAAATTCTTCTTCAATAGCCTCAACAACAACATCATCATCGCCATTATTTACATCAACAAATAATTCCACATCAAATCTCAATGAAAACATGAATGTGAATGGTAAAGATAAGTCACTAAGAAAATCTACTCGAAATTCACATCAACATCGTTCCTATAATCTAAGTCAACAACATTCACACTCTACTAACAATATTTCCTCTTCTCCGACTACTGGTACTACCACTACTGCTAATACTAATACTCAAATGTTCAGTACATCAACCATCTCATCTCCATTGCCAACTAATGATCACACAATTGATGAAGACGATAAAGAGAACAGAATACCGGGATTAATCATTAGAAATAACTCATCGACTGGAAATTACAACACACCTTATCTTAACAATGTTGCTGTCAGTAGTACTTGTAATGTAACTCCAATCTCCTCCTGCGTCACTCATCCCTCATCCTCCTACTCCTCCTCTTCATCGAAATCATCATTCTCATCATCTTCTGTCACATCAACTCCAGTGAATAATCTGCATTCACGAGTTAATGGACTGATTATGCAATGGCAGTCAACACCGTTACAGTATAATGACAAATACAATTCCATATTGAGTGATTCTGATAGTGGTTTCTTCAGTAGTGGGATTCCGTCAATGGGATTCACACCGAATGCGAATAATGTAGTTGGTGTTGGTAGGACAGATATCAGTATAGATTCTGCTCAGTGTACAGACTTGTGTTCTGTGAATGTATCAAACACAGATCAGAGAAGTTGTAAAACATTTATGAGTTGTATGAGAAATAAGTCGTCATTAGCACCTTCATCATTGTCGTGTGATGACCATTTGTCAGCTTTCAGAGTGCCTGTAACGCGATCGGGGTTAGTTGAAATGAATAAATCCGTTGGTTTATGTGCTACGAGTGTTGGACATGGTAAAATGGATAATGCATCTATGATCGATTCCATGAGTTGTAAGCGAGGATTAATCTCATCATCTACTGGAGTTACATCTGAGACAGTAAATACTAAAGACCCAGTAATGTGGAGACCATACTTAGATTAGAATTGATGAAGATTTCAGTTATTTTTCTTGTAAATATTGTCAAAAGATTTCATTTTAAGATTATTTTACATTTGACTTTTCTTATTTATTTTAAACAAACAGAACAAATGCCAATTTTCATTTTTGAATTATGTACAGATTTATATTGGAGTTTTTTTAGTAATGGACATGAGCATTTTATCCATAATGCAGTATTTTTAAAAATGTTTGTTTCAATTAATAAATCTGGGGTTTAGTTACCCTTTATTTGCGTTAATTATAATGGGTAATTATCTTCATTCCACTCAGGTGGTTGTATCTAGGACATTTGTTTTTCGAGGAATTGTCATACCGTGCCATGTCAATTTGTAATTTGTCAACTGAATTTAGACACATTCAATTTTTTCTATTATGGGTATTTCAAATAAAAATACCTTAATTGCGCATAAACTTATTTCAATAGTCATTAGCGTAGACAAATGTTATTCATTTTATACACCAATTGGGAAGTAACAATTTAGTAGGTAATTTAGGGAAATTTTGCTGACTCATTTCGGTATTTAGTTGGAACATAAGGCTATATCATATAATCTTGTTTGTAAATCTCATATCTGTGCTGGTTTCTCTGAGATAATAGGTAGCAAAAATGTGGTCGTCGGTTTATACCAGTATTTATTATCAAACGCTAAGTCACGTGGTTTATAATGTACAAAATCATATAATTATGGTGTTTGAGGGGAAACTGTTATTACACAACTATCCATTATTATAAGAAGTTTCAGTGTATTACAGAGATTTTCAGTACGAAATATTCATATTAAAAGTATGGAGATAACTAAATAAACAGTTAAGCGATTAACTATATTTCGATGTATGAGTTTATGAACTTAGTTATTCAGTTATCATGAATCATATTTAGATTGAGTTAACAAGTTAGTGTTCATCACTTATAACAAAGAAAACTGAAATCGTAAACTAGTTAATCCTATGGTCTTTGATATTACTGAAACCTTAGTTTGATCCATTTGAAATAGACAGTTTATTGTAGCAATTTTATGAATCCTTGTGCCACAAAACACACACTCAATCCATCAACATGTCTCAATTTTGAAAGGAAGTGAATATAACATTGAAGTAAAGGAAAATAAATAATCACGGGCTGACTGATTAGATAACTAATAACATCTAAACTCAATTTCCAATGTAAAACTCCTAATTTAATAATACGTACAAAAACTCTATAATAGGTGTAATTTAGTGTTCAAGTGAGATGTTTATGAAATTACTCCAAATTAAAGTCGGATTTGAAAGGACATTGAAAACTATGAAGCACTGGACGGGTGTTTAATACTGGTGTGATATCTCTCGGTAGGGTTTACTTTCAATCTTATCAGCGATCGAAACACTGAACAATGAAGTGTGTACTGCAGATAAATGTTACATTGAACTTCAAAATGAATTAGAATTACAATGACAATCTCTGTTAAGTATGGTATGAATTTAAAATACTTATGTATCCAATCACTAATCTAAATATGCGTACCCACTTCGGAAAACCATTATTATCCTCTTTTTACACATTAGTTATTCAACTAATAATCTGTGTAGATTATCAATTTATTTGATACTTTCGCATTATTGTAGTCTATCCAAACGTTTTTTGAATGATATATTTAACAAATCATTATTTTAACTACAACGGTGAACTTATTAAGTTAAAATAGATTTATTTAATTCAAGTAGACCAGTGGTATCAAGCTAAACAGTTACGAAACCATTTTTGAGTTCTATTAAAACATCGTCATTTCTGTTTAGTATGAGTGATTTTCGACAAATGCAAATTGAAAAAAAAGTCAGTTACCGTGATCTGTAAAACAAAATATAAAGTGATTAGTATTCAGGTATTTAATTTTTTTATTTGTGGTTCGGCATAAAATCTTTTTAAAAAAATGAGTTATATACCGATACCATTGTCATAGTTACTACTATTAGTTGTTTGAATAGAGAAGTGCATTAAATTGTTGCATGAAAGATACCATCCTGTGATTAACACAGTTTATATGAACTTGTTTTTTTTTAATGAAAATAGAAAATATAACTCTACACAAGTATTTTGTTAAATAAAGTCGATGAAAAAAAGATATCTGAGTACATCTACTAAGTATTCATCATTTTTATTGTTGAGCTGACTTTAATATTTACGTATGAAATAAAAATGTAAATTGGCATAACAACAACTACACTGTTGCTAAGATAAATTTTAATGGTAAAATATTTAGAGTACAAGGTGAAATAAAATAAATTATAAGTTAGATACGATGCAAAGTGTGAATGGTTGATAAATATTTGATCAATTAAATTAGCATACGTAAACTTGTGTCCAATGTTGAATAAAATATGTTTTAATTGTGTCAATAAAAAAAATCAAGTACAGACAAGATTTTCTTCTGGATGATTATGAGTTCTAATTGTTGTTTATAGATCATTTGTAACTGGTTGACATAAATCAAGTAGATATATTTGACCCTTCGAAAGGAATGTACCTTCCTTGTGGTATTAGATTCCATATCATTTAAGTCAGCTTTTAGAAATGTTGCTGATAAGCTGTTCAAGACACTTTAGATTCCCAGCAGAAATAGGAAGTCAACAGGAACTCAGGGCTTGTGCTTCCTGCTTGAGACCATAATGCTATTCTGTATTCGATAACAATGGAATCATAATAGAATGTTTTTATTATCAAAACTGACAGGGTATTTGAATTCATTGAAATCAACAACAAAAAATAAGCCTACCTTGTTTAATTTATTTTGTGTAGTTAATGAAAGTTATATTAAATAGCTTACATATACCAGATCATATTAATTACCTCGTGTAGTATTTGTATTTTCATTAATACTAATATTTATAAATTGAAAGATTTTAAAAGTCATTGAAGTTAGTTAACAAAAAATTGGGGTGGGGGAGTCGGAGAAAAGTTAAAAAGCATTTTATTCTCTAAACCAGTTTAAGTCCTCCAGTTAAACAAAAGAAAACCATACAGATCGTGTGTGCTTTTTTGAAACGTCAGCTGTATGAAAACTATGATGTGGTTAATATATGTTTACTTATATTGATGTCACTATTATTGATGCGTGGGAAATGAATAGAGATTTAATTTTTCTAAGACTTAGATGTCTTTTTCTGCAGGGATTTAAAATTTTCAGGTGTGATATATATATATATATATATATATATATATATATATATATATATGCCAAGGCGTTATTTTACTAATGTGTATACAATTTTATTCTGAATAAAGCCAAGTACAAACTCCACGTTCCTTAAATTAATGAGATTTACAGATATCACGTTTTCTACTGTTTATTTTTGTCATTTTCTGAGATATGATAACCTTTTAAACAACACGAAAATTATTAGTATAAACATTATAGGTACAACTGTATTCACCATTGATTTGTATTTCAATATGATTTACTTAGATTTGGAATTTATTTTATCACGGTTTAATATTGGCTGAAGAGACCATTTAAAACTACGAAGTACTGAATAGTCAATTTGCGTTCGTTTAAAACTTCAGATGGTGAATATTTGTAGCTCAGGCGAATGATTTTGGCGGAGTTTTGTTGAGCTGGATGATTCAGTTATGGAACTTTCATTGTTCTTCTGAACAACATCATCAACGCAAACTTCACTTATACGTAATACATGACTAATAATAATAGTGTAATACTGATATAACGAATAGAAAGAAAGTTCTTTTCATTATTTTATAAGTATTTTTCCCAATATTAATCAATCATTAATTATCCGGCTAAATAAATGATTCATAACCACCTATTCAAATGTTAAATATACATATAATTCCTTGATAAAAATAGTCAACTTTTCATTAGTGAAGTCAATTTATTCCTTCTTTAGTTTGAAATCAGTTCCACCAGATGAAATTACCAGTTTCATTTTGAGAGCTATTTTACTCCATAAATCTATTTTGAAAATGTTAACTACTAACATTTAATTTGATAAACGGAAACGTTCAGAGATTAACACATATTCAAAAATTTCATTTTAATGTATAAAAGGAGTAACCTCAACAACAATCATCATCAGTTAATTTAGCCATTTATTTATTGATTAGATATTAATTAACTTAACCATTTGAATTGTTATTTTGTAAAGAAATATAAGATTTTGTATTATGGGAAAGTATATTGAATCTAGTTACTATGATATTTAAATTATTGAGTGTTCATCTCTTGTTCCAATCCTAATCGTTTTATTTCTTACCGTTCAATTTATTAGCTGACAATAGTCATATATATGTATTCAATTGTTTAACTAGATTTTTATGTCCTGATTGTGTTGTTGCCGTTAATTTCTTTTGTCACTTTCTTCAAACTAGTAATAAAAGACGAAGCCAATATGATTAAACTCAAGAAGAAAATTCAATCATCTTCATACTCACCTTTTTTTCTATTTCAACATTCATACCCTTTTATTTTCACCATAGTTTCTACAGTGTTGTTAATGGATGTTCAAAATCATTTTAAAATTGTTCCTCCCCCTTCTTTTGGATTCAAGTAAATCACGCATGTCTAATTAACCATTATTATTACCATCATTACAATGATAATTATTATTATCGTCATCGTCACCATAACACGTAATACACATAATAATTGATGTCTTTTCTTTTATACTCCTTTTCACAAAAGACTTTCTTGTCATTCATTAGTCTTCTTCTTCCCGCCTCTCACCATTATTGATTTGGTCGTGAACACTATGGCTACTAATCATTTTTTTGTGTGAGCAACCAAAGAATCTTGTCTCAAAAATCTTAACTTAAACATATCTTATTTAAATATATTCAATTCAACAATATTATTTATTAGTATGTAAATTACGCTAATTTCACTTTTTCATTCTATTTTTCTTGGTTTATGTTTTTTAAGTATATGGTTAACTTCAGTATATATTAATTTCTAGGTTGTATTTGTCATCGATTGATCTTAATTGGGGTACGATTGAAAATCAGTGACTATTTGGAAATTTAGAATTATATCATGAGTGGATCAATGCTGTAACCACCATTGAAAGCCTGAAAGCACTGAACTGACGTTTCGTTCTAGCATGGGATTTCTTAACAGTGCGCATCCACGACCCCGCACGTGGGACTCGAACCAAGGACTTTCGTTGGATTGGGTGAAGTTATACG